GCTCCCGTAATCCTTCTGCCTCAGCCTTCCAAGTTGCCAGAACTATAGGGGCACACTACCATGCCCAGCTAATTTTTAAAAACTTTATTGTAGAGACAAGTTTTTGCCAAGTTGCCCAGGCTGGTCTTGAACCAGTGGGCTCAGGCAATCCACTCTCCTCAGACTCCCAAAGTGCTGGGATTACAGGCTGAGCCACCGAGCCCGGCCTGCTTTTTCTTATCTCATTTTGCTGTCAGGGTCAAACATACACCTCTACTGCATTTACAGATTGTAAGGCAGTGAGAAGTGGGTTCCAGGGGGCCCACACACCTGTCAGCAGATACTGGGATCTGCAGATAGCTTCTGAATCACAGCTCACCCCCCCCAATTAAATCTCAAAACTGCAAAAAAGCACAGCCCCCACACCCAGTCCAGCTTCAAAATTGAACAAAACCAAAGGATCTATATAAGGAAGAATAGAAGATTGAGCAAACAGAAGTAAAAGCTATCCCTCAATCACTGAACAACAGATTTAAAGAGAAGCTTTAAAAAGAGGGGAGGGGGAGGGAGGAAAATATACACAAATGAAGAAAAACCAAAGGAAGAATCTGGTCTCATACAGACCCCTGGGAGGACAACTGAGAATACAGGTTTAGGAACTCAAACAATGAAGAACCCCCAAAATGACTGTTCTCAAACCACTAACCCAGATATAAAAATATGAATAGTGAGAAAAAATAGAAATGAGTAGAGACAAGAGGAAAGAATGAAGGAGTTGATAACTCAGATAACAGCAATAACGAATACGGTGAATGAAAAAAATAATGATAAGCATGGGAAGCAGAATTAACCAAGCAGAAGAAGGAATCCCAGAGCTTGAAGACAAAAATATGAAACTAACCCCAACTGTTAAAAACAAAGAAAAGGGGAAGGCTCTGTGGCTCAGCCTGTATACCCAGAACTTTGGGAGGCTGAGGTGAGTGGATTGCCTGAGCCCATGGGTTCAAGACCAGCCCAGGCATCTTGGTGAGACCTCGTCCCTACAACAAATCCAAAATTAGCTGGGCATGGTAATGCACACCAGTAGTTCCAGCTATTGGAAGGCTGAGGTGGAAGGATCACCTGAGCCCAGCAGGTCAACAATGAGATATCTGTGAGTGTGCCACTGCACTTTGGCCTGGGTGACAGAGTGAAACGCCAACTCAAAGAAAAGAAAAACATAGAAAAGAAGCTTAAAAAGACAGAACACCCAGCAGGTCGAGACTGCGGTGGCCAAGAGCGGCCACTGCACTCCAGTCTGGGCGATGGAGTGAGACTCCAACTCAAAAAAAAAAAAAAAAGACAGAACAAAGCCTCCAAGAGATAAGTAGTTACATCAAGAGGCAAAACCTAAGGTTAATTGGAATCTCTGAGGCAGAGAGACAGAGACCACCCTGTAATAAACAGTCCATGAAATTATCCAAGAGAACTTCCCTCATCTCATCAGAGACATAGCCATTCAAACACAAGAGATTCAGAGAACCCCTGAAAGACAACAAATAAGAAAACTAACTCCTAGACACACAGTAATTCTCTTACATAATGTAGGTATAAAAGAAAAAATCCTAAAGGCAGCAAGGGAGAAATGTCAGACTACCTACAGGGGAAGACCAATTAGAAATACTGCAGACGTATCTGCAGAAACACTTAAGGCTAGGAGACATTGAAGTCCAACCTTCAAAGTTCCCAAAGATAAATAATTTCAACCATGAATTACCTACCCAGCTAAGCTAAGTTTCATCAGTAATAGAGAATTAAAATCCTTCCCAGACATTCTATCCCCAAGAATAACTGTCCTTTACACATTTACTTTGCACCCTGAGACTTTGCCAAAGTCCTCTATCAGTGAAAGCAGGTTTTGGCAGATTTTCTTGGATGTAGGGACAAGGGAATATTTCTACACTGTTGGTGGAAGTATAAACCAGTATAGCCTCTGTGGAAAAAAGTGTGACAATTTCTAAAAATTCTAAAAATTGATTGTCCATACGACCCCATAATTCCCCTACTTGGAATATACCCTGAGGAACTCAAATCACTCTATGAAAAAGTTACCTGCACACTCATGTTTATTGCCGCATTATTCACAATAGCAAAAACATGGAACTAACTGTGCTGCCCATCAAAAGAGGACTGGAGGTTGGGCTCAGTGGCTCAGCCTGTAATCACAGAACTTTGGGAAGTGAAGGTAAGTGGATTGCCTGAGCCCATGGGTTCAAGACCAGCCCAGGCAACTTGGCGAGACCTCGTCTACACAATAAAAAAAAATTAGTCAGTCATGGTAGTGCACGCCTGTAGTTCCGAATACTTGGAAGGCTGAGGCAGAAGGATCACTGGAGCCCAGCAGGTTGATGCTAGGGTGGCTGTGAGTGTGGCACTGCACTCCAGCCTGAGTGACAGAGTGAGACTCCAACTCAAAAAAAAAAAAAAAGAGTACTGGATTTAAAAAATGTGGTACATATACACAATAGAATATTATGCTGCCATAAAGAAAGACAAAATTATGAACTTCACAGCATCTTGGAAGGACTTAGAGTCTATAATACTGAATAATCTATCACAGAAACAAAGAACTGAGTACCACATGTCCTCACTCTTAAGCAGACCCTGAACATTTACTATAACATTAAGAAGGGAATTGGCAGTAGCCAGAAACTGCCAAGGGGAGGAGGGGGGCACATAACATCAATAAGGGTACCTGATCTCAACCAGGCAAAGTGGGGACCAAAGGGAGGCCCATTTTTACCTATACAATGACCACTTGTATAACTAATCCTGAATTGTACCACACATCTCTAAAATAAAAAATTGTTTTAATTTAAAAATAAATAAATAAAATAAAGTTTTATCCTGTACCTATCTTTAACCTGGAATTCCTCTTCAAAAACTATATTCTAAAGAAATATTGGCTCATTGCTGAGTTTCTATGGTACACCTAAATGACCAACCATGTAAAGTCATTTCATTGAATTATGAAATTTTCATATTGAACCTAGAGGGAGGCTGTCCTCTCTCCTCAACTCTGAGCTTCTCGCACCGGACTCGGTGGCTCAGCCTGTAATCCCGCGCCTTTGGGAGGCTGAGGTGAGTGGATTGCCTGAGCCCGCGGGTTCGAGACCCACCTGGGCAGAGAGACCTCATCTCTACAATAAATCAAAAAATCAGCTGGGTGTGGTAGCACATGCCTGTAATTCCGGCTACTTGGAAGGCTGAGGCGGAAGGATCACCAGAGCCCAGCAGGTTGAGGCTGCGGTGGCCGGGAGTGGCCACTGCACTCCAGCCTGGGCAACAGAGTGAGACTCCAACTCAAAAAAAACAAACAAACAAAAGGGGGTCCACTTGGGCCCAAATAAGTGTTAGCAATATAGAAGATGCTGGTGACTTGTGGAAAACATGGAGAATGTTTATCGTGTAGTCCAACAGAAAACAACTTAATGGCCCCATCATCCACTTGTCTCTCCTTTCCATGCCCTACTCGAGTCATGAAGCCCCTAGGTGACTTCTGCCTTCTGTGTCCTTCTCCTCTCCTCTCACGCCCTTGCTCCTCCTTCCTCCATCTCCTATTCCTTTTTTAACCAAAATGTTACTAGCTCCAGTCTGGTCCTTCCTTATTGAAAACCATTTTGCTCAAACCTCCTCCCCAACTTCAGCCAAATTTTATTTCCTTGTCTATTTCAAAGTTCACCAAAACAAAGACCAAGACAAAAACCAGAACAGACTCTTCCTTCAGTTTAATGATCATATTTTGTTATTATGGTATGATTTGAGAGATCCCATCTTCCAGGAAAGGACTAACAAGGAATTTCCCCAAAAAGATGGGTCTCCCCTTACAAAAACTCCTATAATGACTGAAAAGGGAATGAGGTTTTCTGCATCACATGCAATGGAACATCATGCAGAAATTTTAAATGATGTGCAGAAGCCTATCTTGTGAGAGAAAGGTATTCGAGATATACTATTAGTGACAAAAATAGGTTACAAATCAATTTCGCATGCATTGTTTGTATGTGCATATATATATATACAAAAATTCATATATATATGAAAAAAGACAGGAAAGATAGACATTAAACTTTATCTTTTTAAACATTTTTGTAGATCATTTTATATCAGTTTTAGTTGTACAGATGGTTCTCACAGTAGCAACATAATTTCTTACCTGATATTGCCTTTTTGAGGCAATGAATTCTAAGCATCTTATAGTTTACAGATTACCAAAACATAAACACATGTCTCTCAACTTTCTTTTTTTTTACCTTTAAATTTTTTATTTTAAAATTGTGGGGTATAATTCAGGATTAGGTATGCAAATATTCATTGTGCAGGTGCCCTTGTTAATGAGGTGTGCCCCCCCTTCCCTAGGCAGATTCCCACTACTGCCAATCTCACCTCCCCTCCCCCGCCCCCTACCCCCCACACACCCGCAGTTTCCCGTTACTCAGGGATGAATGTTTGGAAGCTGTAAACAATCGGTGGTCTCCTGCCCTGTAGAGTAGAAGTCAGCAATCTTTTTTCATAAAGGGCCACATAGCATATGTCCTGTCACATGCTCTGTTTTTATGGCACAAAGATAGCCATACATAGTGAGAGTGGCTGTGTTAGCAAACCATACTAACAGACAATAATCTGAATTTGGCGCCAGAAGGATGTAGTTTGCCAATCCCTGGTCTAAAACAAGGATAGTCAATGTGGCTGTAGTGGTGTGTTGAAACTAGCTTATATCTACTTGCAATAGACAGTTGTTAACATCTCTTCCCAACTCTGTTCCATGCTTGATGTTGGTAGTTTGAGCTCAGCCATATTAAGAGTAATTACAACATGGAAATTGGAAAAGGCTGTGCATCTGCACTTCTTCTCCCCTCATCACCCTCCTGAGAATTGGCTGTTCGCACCACTGGGTGTGTGTTCCCCAGTGTGGGAGTGAGGGCAGGGATTGGTCCAAATTAGAGAGAGAGGCTAAAGAAGGCATTTGATGGGGGAGCTTCCTAATCACTGGCCTCCATGTAGCTTGTTTCAACTTTGTGAACTGGGTGAAATGAAAATTCAATGTGTTTCTTTTTTCCAGCTTTATCTGTCACTTCAACAGGTTGATTAGGAGAGTGAGAGGTACACATGAACCATCCAGGGTGAGCAGCTGACTCCAGCGTGTACTGGGAGCCCACCTTAGACTTATAAAAGATGAAGTGTCGGCATTCTTGTTCCTTCAGAGTACCCAGTTCCATCAGTTTCTTCTTCTATGGGGTGAAAAAGATTCATTAGATAGCACAGGCTTTGAGAAGGAGAAAAACCCAGCATGTGTGCCCTTGCTTTAGGCCTTTGCACAGGAAAGGAGGAAAAGGTGGTCCTTGGGAGAGTTGGGGTGTCAGCCTTGGTACTGGTGTTTAAGGGCTGATAAGTAATCATGCCTTCTTGACCATGCCATCTCCTCTCCTCATATTAAAAATAATTTTGGGTCAGGCTTGGTGGCTCAGCCTGTAATCCCAGCACTTTGGGAGGCCGAGGCAAGTGGGTTGCCTGAACCAGCAGGTTTGAAACCAGCCCAGGCAACTTGGCAAGCCCTCATCTCTACAATAAATCAAAAATTAGCCGGGCATGGTAGCACACCGCTGGGGTGGCCATGAGTGTGCCATGGCACTCCAGCCTGGTCAACGTTGTGAGACTCCAACTCAAATAATCATCATCATCATAATTTCAAGATGCAGAAGTCAAGTGAACACCAAACTATCAGCTCTAAAGAAGTTTTAAAAGTTAGAATAGAGAATATGATTTGAATTTGCATCTAAAATTGGGCTTCTTAAGATTTCTTCACTCGAGTGAAAATGTGCTCCATCTAGGAATATGTTTGCAGAGCAAACACATTGCTCTTCAAGTGCAACCTTACACACTCCTACCCTGTACTGGTATGTCACAGTCCTGACCCAGGGGTGCCACCTGCCACATGGAGGGCCACAGCAGCAGGAGAACACAGTCCATCCAGGGTAGGTGGATCTAGGAGAGGAGGGAGGGCTGCTCACACATGTTCAGGTTCTCCTCCTAGTCTCCTCATTATGTGGCCAGGCATGGTGGCACCTACCTGTAGTCCCAGCTACTCAGAAGGCTAAAGCAGAAGAATCGCATGAGCACAGGAGGTCAAAGCTGCAATGAGCCATGTTTGTGCCATTGCACTCTAGCATGAGTGACAGAGTGAGACCTCTGACTCAAAAATAAGAGAAAGAGAAAATTCCAGGAACAGTAAGAGGCATTGAGGAACTTGGCCTTTTACTCTGGGGCAGCCAATGGCACCAGAAATAAAGCTGGAAATCTCACCTTCAGCTGAAGAGATGGGTGGCCTTTTCCTTTGTCCTTGTCACAGTAGAGACACAACTCTCCCTTAGAGACTGCCAAGAAAATTGGACTCCCTTTTTCCTTTGGGGCTGGGGGCAAATGTGAGGCTAATACAAAGAAAATCTCTGGAAAAAGACAGTCAGAAAACTGGTCAGTTCTCAAAGCAGGGAAAAGTCCTTCCTTATCTGCTGGGGTTTCAGGCCTGACACAAAGCCCCTCTTCCCTTGACTCTGGTCAAAATTTCCCTCCGACACACTGGATTAAGCCTCTTCTTCCACAGCCTAAGTGTCTGGCTTCTTCTTTCTCCTAGCCCTTCCAGAAAGACTCCCCTCAAATCTGGTCATTGTTACAAACTCTTCATCCAATGCCTAAGTGTCCCTGGGGCTTCTCCTCCCAAATACCACTACCTGCTGGAGCTGCAGGTGTGGCACAGCATAGAGCAGTGCCCACTTAAAGGGAGGACTTACCCTGGTTTGGTGGGGACAGAAAATACAGCCAACACTGAGAGTCACCTGGGTGTATATGCTTTCTATCTGGAACTGCCTTGAGAATCCCACAGTCCAGGACCAAAACTTGCTGAAACTGGGCATGAAGGTTGAATTTCTTTGGCTCTTTACACTTCAACTTTGAACCTAGATCAATATAACCAGATGTCAACACTTCACATTGATAATGTAAGATTCAGCCCTTTCTATATCATATCTGAGCCCTGGCTTTTCACCCTTCCTGTGTACTCAGACATCATAGCTGCTGAATATTTCTTCCACTTCCAGACTTTCTGTCTTTCTAGGACAAGCAATTTAACATTGTGAATAAGCACATGGGTTCCAGATTTTGACAGATGTGCTCAAATCCAAGATATGTTGTAGAAGGACAGGTTACTAAATCTCTCTAAACCTCAGTGTCCTCATCTACAAAATGGGAGTAGTAACAGCAGCATGTACCTGAGAGAAGAATTAAGAAGATTAAATGCTTACCCAAATGAATACAGACCTCAGCCTGAGCTAAGAAAGTGTCTAAACTATAGAAAAGACTCAGTACATGTTCTTCCAATGGTCTTTTCTGCATACTCTGACTGAAGGCATTGTGCCACCAGCAATGCCTGGGATGGGACAAATCCTTTCAATGGTTGGGACAAGGGAACCTTGATGGAAGAGTGGAAGTGGAGGCAGGAAACCCGCAGGGAACCCACCATGTGTAAGGCTGAGCTAATGCTGCAGAGGCTTCTTTGAAAAACCACAGCGTTTGCACCTGGCTTTGAAAGAACCTCTTCCAGCAGGCAGGACCAGCCACAACAGTGTCCAGGGGGTTCCCAGGGTGTGGGCTTCTACGAAGTCATACAGACCAATTCTGCCTAAAGTGGGATCCTAACAGGAAACCTTCCCTATGGGCCTGATTGGGCAAGCACCCATCCCTTAGTGAAACACTCTGGAGCTTGTCTTATGGAGGGATGGAGCCCCTGTGCTGGGCCAGTGACTGTTGGGGCTGGGTGACTGGAAAATGGCACATTTGGTAATACGATAACACACTACACTGTGTGGTGCTATAGTATAGGTATCTATCACAGGTAATTGTAACATAGAGAATAAGTCTAAGGTGTCATCCTCCTCCCTATAAGCACACAGCCTCTGGCTGGGTGTCTCATCATAGTATGACCTCCTGGTCTCCTTGTCCTCAGACAGTGGGAAGGATTTCTCCTGTAACACCAGATCTCCTGTCACCTCCTCCCTGTGTCCCTCTTTGGCCTCCTCTTCACAGGATGGCTTCCTCTCCAGTGTCACAGCACTTTCCAATTATCACTTGCACACAGGTATTGGTGTCCTTGTCTCTGCCCTAGAGCGCTGTAAGCTCCCCAGGAGGAGGTCCCCTGCCTAACTCACCTGTGATCCTTGACAGACCCCCCCCACCACCACCCCCAATGCTCCCTGTAGTATCTCAAGCATTACAGACACTCAGTGTCTATGAAAGGGGTGAATGGCCCCGGGTGAGATCCTAAATAACTCTACAATGATATGGAGACAGGTGAGATCCATGGCTCTCAGCCCTGGATTATATCAGAATCTCCTTGGGAGCTTTTCTGGGCCTCACCTCAGATATTCTGAGTTCATGTAGCAGGTATAGGTTGATTGACAACCACCAAACTAGACTGGGCCTTTCCATTTCCCACACTTTAATGTGCAATGAATAACCTGTGGTTGCAGTTCAGTAAGTCTTGGTGGTGTCAAGGCTCTACCTTTCTAATAAGCTCCAGGAGCTGTCAATCTGCTAGTCTGAAGACACCCTTTTTTTTTTTTTTGGTTTGTTTTTTTATTCTACTTCATTCAACTGTGACTTTACTTTAGTAATTTGAATGTTTCTACTCAATCTAGGATTAGATTGTTCTTGCCTTTCCAGCCCCTGTAAGCATGACATTAGGCTGTTTACATGAGATTCCTCTCTTTTCTTGATATGAGGATGCAATGTTATAAATGTCCCTCTCAGTATCACTTTCATGGTGTCTCAGAGGCTTTGATATGTTGGGTTTCTGTGTTAACCTCAAAGTCATTCAGAAGCATATTGTTTAATTTCCATGTATTGGTGTATTTTGTGGGGTTCCTGTTGGTGATTGTATTTATTTTTATTTCACTGTAGTCTGAGGAGACTATTATTTTACCCTTTGGAAATTTGTTCACACTTCATTTATGCCTGAGAATGTCATCAATCTTTGAATATGTTCCATGTGCTAATGAGTAGAATGTATACTCTGTGGTTGTTGGATGAAGTGTTCTGTAGAAGTCTGTTAGATACAGTTGAGTTAAAGTTCTGTATTTCCTTGTTAGTTTTTGTCTCAATAATACCCCCAACGATAGCAGGGTATTAAAGTCTCCAATTATAATTTTTATTGTATGGTGTCTATTTCCTGTCTTGGTTTAAGTAGAAATTGTTTTATAAATATGGTTGCTCCTGTACTGTGTGCCTATAAGTTTAAGATATATATTCCTTGCTAGTGGATTGAGCCTTTTATCATAATGTAGTATCCCTCACTGTACTTTTTAACTTGTATTGGTTTGAAATCTGTTTTGTCTGATATAATAATAGCTACTCCTGCTTTTTTTTTTTTTTTTGGTTTTCTACTTACCTAGAAGATCTTTCTCCACCCCTTACCTTGAGCCTGTTGGTGGTCTTTGAACTGATATGGGTTTCCTGGAGGCAGCAGAATGTTCGATCCTGTTTTGTTATCTATGCCTTTTGATTGGCACATTCAGTCCATTCAAGTTCAAGTTAATTATTAATATGCAGGAGTTTATTCCTGTTATTTTGTTATTAAGAGATTGCTTTACTTTTTAGGTTTTGTGATTGAGCTGTATTGTTTGTTAACTCTTTGCTTGCCTGTGCTGTTGCAATGAGTGGAACTGTTGTTTCATTTCCATGCTTAGAACATTCTTAAGCATCTCCTGAAGGACTGGTCTGGAGGTGGCATATTCTCTTAGGGGTTAGATATATTTAAAGGATTTTTAATTCTCCTTCATTGATGAAGCTTAGCCTGACAGGATAGAAAATTCTTGGCTGGAATTGCTTTCCTTTAAGAATGTTAAAGATGGGTCTGCTGAAATTCTGAAAAGTCTTCACTGGTAGGTGGTCTGTCCCTTCTCTCTGACTGCCTTTAGAGTTTTTCTTTCATACTTACCTGATGGAGACAGATTACTTGTGTCTTGGGGATAGTCTTCTCATGTATACTTGCAGGGGTTCTATGGATCTCTTGCATTTGGATGGTTGCAAGATAGGAGAAATTTTCTTGGAGACCTCTTGAAATGCTTGTTCCAGGTTGTTCTCAGATTACCCTACTTTTTAGGAGTACCAATCAACCAGAGATTTTGTCTCTTTACATAATCCCAAACCTCTTTTAGACTTTGCTCATTCTTCTTCAGCCTTTTTCTTTGTTTTTATCAGACTGGGTTAGTTCAATACTTTGATCCTCAAGCTCTGAGATTCTTTCCTCTGCCTGGTCAATTCTACTGCCTAGTTTTGTCATGGTGCTTTAAAATTCCAGAATTTCAAATTGAGTCTTTCTTATATTGACCAGTTCAACTTTTATGCTTCCATCTTCTTGTGACTTTCCTTGACTGCATTTCCACCCATAGTCTGAATTATATGTCTGTCAGAAGGGACAGGTCATTCTGAATGGTTTCCATTGCTTGGGGTATAGGAAGACCTTTTGTGGGTGACACCTCATTAAGGTTTCAAGAATGACTAGTGTTTTTCTGCTGGTTCTTCCTCATTTGTAAGGACAAATTCTTCTCTTTTTATTTTTAATTTTTTGTTTGGTTTGGTTTTGGGGGGTTTGTTGTTGTTGTTGTTTTTATATAAGGTTGCTACTGTTGGGCTGAACTTTTATGGGATTAAATTTTTTCTTTTTATCCTTATCTCACAAGGCTCTCTTCTGTTGTGCTGCACTACTCCTTCCCCTGGGGGTGACAGTTTGTGAGGACTCAACAACTGTGGGTCTTGCTACCCTTCTGAGTCTAACTTCCCTAGGAGGCATCCACCTTTTGGCTGGTGCTAGTGGGTGCCTGCAAGGTATCCCATGATGTGAAGACACTGGAGTTGAATTCTAAAAGGAGTTGGTCATTGATGTATATGGAGGACCCTCTGGAAAAACTCTGAAGTCTCAGTCTATGGACTGATCTGTGAGATGCAGGGAAGCATGATCTTTGTTCTGATTGTCTTCTCAGGGGCTGTTACTGTTGTGTCAGATGTTGTAAAGGGCTCTGCATATTGGCCTCCAGCCAGGAGATGGTGCTTGGAGAAAACAGCTCCCTATGATGGAGTCTGTGGGCTTTTTTTTCCCCCTTGGCCTCTCTTTTCCCAGGGAATAAGTAGATAACCTGGACAATGGGCCTCCAAAAGATCCTCAGTTCCTTGAATTTTGAGAGGAGTGGAGAGGAAATGCTGGTCTGGGAGGGTTGCATCAGGCTGGACTGCTCTTCAGTTCTCATGGGCATGACTGGCTACTCCAGTGGGAAACGAGACCCCAGCTGCTATGGCCATACTGCAGGGATGGCCAAACATTTTCTGTTGTGCAAAAGAGTTCACACAGGGAAAGATGGGTTGCCAGGACAGTAGGCATCCTTGCTTCACCACCTTGGGATCCTCTTCTCTTGTCTGTCAGTGCTCAGAAATCAAAGTGACTTTCCACAGCAGCATTTTTCTCATTGGCTGGAACCAGCTGGACTGCATGCTGATCCCTGGCTGTGAGCTCTCTATGAGGATCTGAAGGGGTGATGGGCCCCCTGGTTGCTGCACAGAAGTGTTCCCACAGGGAGAGAGGGTTACTTGGAGCTCCTCTTGACTCTCTCTCCCCAGATAGAAGTCAATCTGTATTCAGAACTCAAAAACTTTCCACAGTTTTATCAGTCACAACTTGCTCAAAACTGGAGCTGCCTGTTGTAGCAGAACCTGCCCTTGGAGTGAATGAAGTTGGTTATGGATATTTCCCAGCTTGAGGCTGACCACCAAGGGCTACCTACAGGGTGTGAGATCTCAGAGATTGTTAGGCTGTAAGCATTCAGAGTTTAGATGGGTTACCAGATCTATGTGGCCTCTTGAAGCACACCACTATGTTGTTTCCAAGACACTTCCTGCGTAGGACTAG